TCCTAAGTAAGAGGCACTGTTCCAAAATAAATACATTTCTCACATATCACTATTATTGTTGCCCTCTGGTAAAGCCTTAAAATGAATCGTTAAATATGTTTTTCAGTAAAGCTTGTTAGCCTTTGCTGCAGTGCTCTTTATGAATGCTCTTTAGCAGCAAAAACATTAATGTCATGTTGAGCAGTTATTCTAAATTGGTGAGATTTTTGTCTGACTTTCTGTCCTGTGTATCTCTGTGTCTCTAGGTAATGGACTGGCAGCTGGTCACTGGTGAACCTTTCCTCTGGTCCAGGTACAATTAAAGAATTAAATTGGTGTCACCACTCTTCAGCAGACTTTGCATTTTTTTTTTTATTGGAATGAAGTATTGTTTTTCTTTGCTTATTTGTATATTTTTGTCAGTGCTGAAAAACTAAATAAGCAAGAAAACAAACAAAACACAAAGTTTTTTAGGAATTCAAAACTATGAATGAATTAAATGCTTGTATAATGGAAGTTATGTGCTCGATATTCCTAAATATCATCTCAACAAGAACGTCATACTGGTAAGGAAAGATTACCTTGTAGCAGAGGGTTGCCAAGTTGGACGGGGACTCCTCTCTGACAGCTCGGATTTCTGCAGAAGGCACCAGAGCAAAAACATCCTGGACAGCGATGGAGCAGTCAGCCCAGAACTGATCCCAGAATACGTCGTCTGTGGCTTCGACAGGCTGTGCAACAGGAAATAGAAATTCTTTGAGCGACCATGTTTTCAATTCTTCACCATGATCACCTCCTAAAGTCATATTATGGAAAAACTGCATATAAACAAGGTAAGGTTTCAGTTGTATTCAGAATATGTCAGTCTAATACCTAGGAGAGCATCATGCAACACCTTTATGACTTTATTTCCAATGCATTTATTATTCTATTTAATATTAACATATAAGAGTTTTTAATGTCAACACAAGGTGCATGTTCCATATAATAATGAATAAAAGGTTGGTTTCAGTTTAAGCTGTCTAACTTCTACTGTACCATAAAGATATTAACTGGTTAAAGTGCAATTAGTGTAGAACATATTATCCAAACTAAACCAAAGCCTTCAGGCAGAAACATTTCACCCACCATCTGGAAGAACATAAGGTTACTGAGGAAGAAATAAGCAGACAGTTGGTTTTAAATAAATGCCATATGATTGTGTACCTTTCACAAAACAATAATAAAAACAATGCTTGTGTTTTTATTTTATTTTTTCCCCATTATTTCCCCCTCATTTTTAAACAGAGCTGAAGATTTAAGCAGTTTATTTTACCCCACTTAGAATGATCAGCACCTGAAGCTACCATCTGGCACAACTTGAATCATGTCTTCTTTTAAATAGATCGCCTATTAAAACACTGTTTTTCATTCCCGCTGTAAAGTTTTATTGTAAGAAAAACACAAACTTGCCTGCGTTTTGGTCGTCAGCTGGATCACCGCTTTCCTAAAGTGAAGTTTGGTGTCTGCGTTTCCCATATTTTCCTGCCCCTGGAGCCGCTGTCGCCTCCTGCTTTCAGGATCCGCTGATCATTTCCCTCATCAGCGCTCAGAGCGCTCAGTTACTGATGCGTTCAGGGACCGCTCGGAGCTCGCCAATTCGACAAACATGTTACTCGCTCTTACAGATCCTTTTAAAAATAGGAATCAGGCCTATTTAAGTTATTTAATGACGACAATGAAATGTAGTGAATAACTTGCATATAGAATTTTACTAAGAAAATTGTATTTATATATATATATATATATATATATATATATATATATATATATATATATATATATATATATATATATATATATATATATATATATATATATATATATATATATATATATATATATATATATATAAATGCAATTAGATATATATATATAAACAAATAACAATAAGAATTAAAGACAGTATTTTTTTATTTGCATCACAGACACTTAAATGAATAAACAAATAAAGCCTTATCTTATGTTGTTTACCCCCTTTACCTAAAGCAATAATTTACAAAGTACTTAAATGACAAAAGGCATCTGCAACAACACAGTAAGCATTAAAATTAGTAATAAAATTGAATGACTATCCTCCTAATTCACCGTTTCTGTATAGCTAACCTTAAAAAAAAAACATACAATTACATACGATTTACTTTGTATTACAATCAGGGATAACACATATTAATTTATTCTTAGAGAAACATGTTAAAATAACTATGAAAAAAACAAAATTCTTAGTTTAGAAAACATGCATGTATAAAAGAAGAAAATACATTATTTAAAGGAGCACTAGTTGTGGATTTACAATTAAACACAATAATATTGCTTCTTATATGTTTTTAAACAGTAGGCTCCCCTAATAACATTAAAACATAACATCAGTGGTTTGGTGATATGTTTAGTCAACATGAAGGTCATGAACTCCTAGTGCATTATAACATATTTCTGAAACAAATCAGAAAATTTCGGGCAACATAGTGGCATCTATAATTTTACATAAAATAAAAAATATATTTATATTTTGTGATTACCAAATGTTTACATTAAGACATCAGCTGTTGATTTTTCTAGATTTATTTTGTTGATTTATTATGAAGTAATTCCAAAACCCTGTAGGCTTAAAAGGTTAAATACAGGAGGGGGGTCCTTGCTGCATCTCATCATCAATCTAGGGTCAGGAAATAAAAGATGTTAAAGACTCCCCATTAAATTTTCTTGCCAATATTTTTGTTGTAATAATTCTGAATGTCCCTGAAAGCAGCATGTGCTGAGCAGGATCCAAGTGAGCAGACTTCCGGGATACTTTATGTACTCATATACCACGTGACCCTCATGATAAACCTGGCTATACTTAAGACTGCAATTCACGTCATTATGGGCTACATCATCACCACCTGCCCGAGCATCACATCAGGAACATTACTGAGATAAATAAATGTTTCCTTGTCTGGTCAGTTCAACTGTAGGGGATGAAAGTATAAAGTGGCCAGTAGATGGCGCCATAATGTCAGCTAGAGCTGCAGAAGTCAGTGGGGAAGAAAGGGAGAGGGAAAATACTGAAGTCTAGCAGAGGATTTACACAAGTATTTTACGCAAACTCTGACATTTGACCTCTTTAAGGTAAAATAAATAAAAATAAATAAAATAAAGCTTGATTTGGAGCTATACTTTATATATAATAGCTTGATACAAGATATAAATTAATAGAAGTTTTTTTAGTAGATATATTTGAAAAAGATATAACATTTTGTTTTGTGAAGAGACACTTTAAAAGCCATCTCATTATCAATTATCAAACATAAAAGTGTGACTTTTCATCATGAGATGATTTGAGGTATAGGCTACTTTATATATAATAGTAGCCCCCTCTATTTTTATATCAATATCTAAAAAATTTATATATATATATATATATATATATATATATATATATATATATATATATATATATATATATATATATATATATATATATATATATATATATATATATATATATATATATATATTTGACAAATTATATGAGCCATTGAATGATATATTGATATACTGTAAATAAAGTTGGAAAAAATAAGTTAAGAAATAAGGTAAGAAGCTAAGTGAAAAAGTGAAAAAGTTAATAAGTGAAGTAAAAAAAAAAAAAAATGTAATAGCCTCTATCAGCATTAAAGCTCTAAGGTTATGCTTTAACACAAAACAGTGTTTTTCATGAATTTCTTATAGAAGTACTTAGGTCTTTTTTTTTTTCATATATTTGGGAAAGTGGCTGTTTATTAATTCCTGATTAATTTGATTTTTTTGCCATCAAAATGTCCATATCACAAAAGTAATAAAGTCTTGTCCTTTCCTTGAATATTTTTTTTTCTTTCTTTGCAGAAAAAAAGACAGCCTCTTACAGGGATTTCCCTATATTTAACTTCCAGTTATCGTTCAATATACTCTACAAACCTTACTGTCCCTGATGTAAAAAGCATGTTTTGAAGGGGGGTTGTTGTAGTTTTATTTCCCCAAACATTGCATTTTAAATAAGGGCACAAGTTTAGTTTTAATCAAATCTGATTCCCAAACTTTCTACAGGACCATAAAGGCCATTAACAAATGTTATTCGATTCCGCCACCTAACATGGATGTTCATAGCTCCTCCAGAGTTACTCTGGGCCTTTTCCTTATCTGGCCTGTCAGTTTCACTGCATGGTCATTTTTTGTTAGGTTGGCAGCTCTTTCCATTTTTAGATGATGGATTTAACTCTCTATGAGTCTTTTTCGATTATTACCTCACCTAATGTTTACTTACTAATCTGAATATAATGGATTAATATAAAAGTTGGTCTATTAAAAAAAACTCTGTAAGCTCACTAAAGTTTATTGCTTTAAACTGACAAAATCTGGAGGAGTTCAGCTGGAATTTATACCATTTCCATGCATTGTTTCTTTAGGCTATTGGTTTATGGGTCTGACTAATATTAAAATGTATTCTTTATTACCTCACATATTCATTTTTTAACAGCTTTAACAACTGACCACTTTGCCGCTGCCTAATAATATTATGGTTAACAGTTTTAATTAACTTTTTTCATCATTCCCTTAGTCATTGTGATCAGTGTGTGAACACCTATCACATAGCTGGTACTATTTCTTAATGTTGTCATTATTATTATTACACAGAGTAGTATCAGTTATCAGACTGATCATCCATAAAAATAAACAAAAATGCTCATGATTTAAGATTTTTTTATACCAGCCTCCATTTTTATTAAACCCATAAAATGTATAGAAGGCATTTAAACAGCTGCAGGATTGTTTCTGTCATGCAAGAACTATTGATATCATTCCTGAGAAAAAACGATTAGGCTCATTTGTAAAGAATGACTCATTCAGAAGCAATTTCTTCCCCAGACAATATTGCAAAATGTTCCACCTCCCTTTCCCCCTCAGAAAATCTAATAGGCCACCAAGCTCTCAAACAGGTGTCAGCCAATCAGAGCTCAGCCTCATCCAAACATAAAGCAGTTCCATATACACCACATTTTGCAGACACGCTAATGCAGAGGCCATTTGGATTCCGTCTTATGCAGCAAGAAGCATGATGAACACAAGGAGTTCTAAAGTTTTCTTAAGTTTACTGGTAGCTCTGTTAATATCTGACCTGGTAAGGATCTTTTTTTTTTTTTTTTTTTACCAGAAGTCAATCTTTAACCTTTTTTTTTTTATTATTGTTTGATTGGAAATATTTTCAGGGCCTGTGGAGACATGACAGGAGGAGAGACATTTCAGTTTTCTCCTCCCCTTTCCACAGTTCAGGTAAGCAGAACTAAGATCAGGATTAGTAAGATTAAGATTTCTTGGTATTGTTTCCTGAGCTTTAAATGGGCCATTGCATTTTGCAGATGGAATCTGCCTCAATGGTGGACTGTCTGTTTCTTCCATCATCACTGGTGAACACTTGTATTGTAATTGTCCTCATGATTTTACTGGGACACACTGTGAAAGAGGTAAGAAACAGATATCAAACCAAATTTAAAACCTGCAATTTCACATTTTAATCTTCTCTGTCTGTGGTTATAGTGAAAAGCATCGGCTGTTATGAAGGTATGGGATTGAACTACAGAGGCACCGCTTCGAGATCAGTCAGCGGAAAAACATGTGAGAACTGGGATTCGCATAACAGAAGACGTTATTTGTCCTCAGACCTTCATGCTGGGAGACACAACTACTGCAGGTGGTTTCTGAAATCTTAACAAAATCATTACTAATAAAGGAGTTCTAACCCTTTATGTCCCAGTTAAAATTTCAGCTATTTGTGATGCAACCAGTTATACTTGTACATAGACCTTGACAATTATTCAATAGCAAAACATTTATGCATTTAGCAGATCCTTTATCCAAAGTGACTTAAAAAGTAGACACAATGTTACAGTTATCATCAATAAGAGAATAAGTTCTATAGGGAAAAATCCCTAATTGAAAATAGTGAGGACAGAAAAGAGATAGATGGAACTACAGAAAGAGTAGTAGTGGGGTACAGAGTTATGGGTAAGAGTTAGGAGAGGAGATGCTCTTTGAAGAGGTGGGTCTTTAGGAGATTCCTGAAGCTGCTGTTCTTGCAGTGCTTGGTAGGTAATTCCATCATCTTTGAACAACACATGAAAACAGTCTGGATTGACTTAAGTGTTTTGTAGGCACACCTGCTCCTAATCTGCTAATTAGCCTGCTCTTTCTTTCTTCTTTCAGGTTGTGAGATAAGCCTTTGCTAAATTTTTCAATTAGATGGGAGACGTACCCTTAAGCACTTTGTAGGCTAGCATTAGGGACTTGAATTTGTTGGGGGCAGGCAAGGGTAACCAGGGAAGCTTAATGAACAGAGGAATGAAGTGAGACTTTTTGGGACCAGGCAGAGGATAACCAAGAGCTGGGTAGCATGTTGGGTAATGTATGGCCAGATCCTTCTTATGTTTAATAGTAAGATTGAGAGATGGAGGTAACATCTGTAAAGGTCAGCTGATCGTCAATCATGACACCCAAGTTTGCTGCTCTTGATGGAGTCAGAGACAGGGATCCAGTCTGGATGTGAATAATGTGGTGTATGGTTGGTTTGGCTCAGAAAACCAGCAGTTCAGTTCTTGAGAGATTCAGTTGGAGGTGATGGACTTTCATCCATTTTGATGTGTTAGAGAGACTGAGATGCACGCTGAGACCGTGTGGTCATCAGGTGGAATGACAGAGCTGGGTGTCGTCAACATAACAGTAGTATGAGAAACCATGTGATTGAATGATCTAGCCCAGCGTGGTGGTGTATATGGCAAAGGGAAGAGGTCCAAGTACTGAACCAGGGGGAACCCCTGTGGCGAGTTGTTGCTCTGCAGAAGTGTGACCAAGCCAGGACACTATGAAAGACTGATCAGTGAGGAATGATTCAAACCAGGAGTGTGCTCTTCCTGTGCTCAACAGTATAGATAGAAAGATGTCATGGTTGACTGTGTTTAATGGTACTTAGGACTTCCCTGTTGCTCTTGCCTCTTTTAAGGCTTCTGTCACAGATGACAGATCCGTTTCAGTGGAGTGGCCTTTTTTAAACCCGGATTGGTTTGTATCAAGTAGATTCTTTTGTGAGAGGTATTCTGTGACCTGCCTAAAGACTGATCTGTTAATGCCCTTAGACAGAAAGGTTAGTAGAGAGACCGGCCAATAGTTTTCCACCTGGGTCAGTGGGAGAGAGGGTTTCCTGAGCAGCGTTCTAACCAGAGCTTGCATGTATGAGTTAGGAAATGTGCCTGATGTCAGTGAGGCATTGATGAAATTTGTGACTGCTGCAGTTACCATCGGAGCTATGGACTGGAGAAAATTGGTAGGAATAGGTTCCAGCAGTTTTAGACACATACTGTAGCACTCAATGAGAGGAGTAAATGAATAGAATGGAGCAGTAGGGCCTCTGCTAGAATTTGTAATCTGAGAGGTTTCAGGTGCAGTTCAGGAAAACTGTTTACTAATACCTGCCACTTTTTCAGTTAAAAATAAAGCAATGGTGTCTGCCATTAAACTGCTAGCAGGAGATGGAGGAGGATAATTTTTTTCAAAAGCAATGACATTTAAGTCCATTTCTGGTATTTTGATCTAAGCTCCAGTCTGATGTTACAGCATTTGACACTGATTGACTTTCTGAATATGAGTTATATGAGCTGAACACCAAAGAGCTGCAGCCCAGTGGCTATGTGAGTGACTATGAACATCACAGGCAGGGAGCCTATACCCAGCAGCTGTAACACTGTGCTGCTCAGCTGCTCAGCTCCAAAGCGCAAAATTTAGCAATAAAATGAGTGCCTGTGATGACAGCACCAAACGTCCCATTTTGGATGAAAGTCTCCGACTTTAGAGTCCGATGAATGAAAAAAACAAGATGGTTGCATTGTTGTTGATGGCCGACCATGTAGAAAGCATGTTCGTAAAGCAACAGCTTATAGCACAGCTTAGAGATGCAGTCAGGGGAAACGATCTGAGCTCAACCTTCAATTAAAAACAGAGCTGCTTCCTATAATAATAAACCCGCATGATTTATTGAAGAACTGTTTGAAATAAGTCATAGACAGAAGCTAACTATCTGTTCTTACACGCTTCACATTACTTACTACAGTTAAACATTTATTTCATTTCTGTTCAGTGGTTTTATATAAATATATCACTAATTCATAGCAAATATGAAGTTGAAAAACAATTCCACTTCATAAGTACAGTGCAGGATGAGCTGATCGAAAAATACAGTTCAACAATGTAGACAGATGAGATTCAATTTCATCAACAATAATTCCAGTTTAATTCTATCTGTAGTATAACAGGAACCAATTGTTTTTTGTGTGCTACTTAGTAAAATGTTATCTTCTCAGGAAGCCCAGCGATAAACACTGGAAGACTGGAATTTGACCAATGCCACTTGTTGAGCAAGCATGTGGTGAGAGTGGACATTGAAGTTAAACAGGTTTCATGGATTAATATGCTGTAACACGGTCATCGCGCATTAACATTTGATATTGCCTCACAATGTTTTAGAGTGGGAGCAAATATAGAGGGGAACATTTTCCCAAGCATTGCACCCTGTAGTATTCCATGCTTTTAGGACTGTTGGAGGAAGCGGGAGCACCTGGAGAGAACCCACATATGCAAATGGAAAAAACCGGAAACTACTGCAGAAAGGCCCTTGGCTGGGAATCAAACCCATGACCTTATTGATGCAAGGCAGCAATGCTGCAAACTTAAACACATTAGAAACTGCCCTTATACAAAGCTACCTACACAGCAACACTCTCATATCACTGGTGCTAAAGGCTTCAGCTCCAAAAGTAAACAAAAACAGGAATTTCGCTGATGCATTACATCCTATTTATCTTAGTATTAATAACATTATGTGAATGATAATATAAACATGTAAAAAGTCTTTAAAGGGAAACGGCTGTTCCAACGGTTTCATTTCAGAATTCTCCCGAGTGGTGCATGACTTTACACGAGTGAATAAAGTGAATGTGATTGGTTGTTTATCAAGAGGGTGGGATTGTTGTGGCAGAGGGTTCGCAAACAATGGGAAATTACATTGGGACCAAGTAGCACTAAATTGGTGACTTAGAAACGACACTGTCAAAGAATGCTATGGACAGCAGAAACATGCAAGAGGAGGAGAGTTTTGTGTCAGAGGTCGTGGATGAGTCTCCTCCATCATACATTTTTTATTTAGAGGGGGAAAGTGGGGACAAAGATGTTGTGGAAGAGGACGCCAGGGCGGCAGAAGCTTGGTTTGGTGTAGAAGGCTTACAGCCGTAATTGTTTGAGCCCTTGCCACAGGGTTCAAGCTAAAGATGACCTTCCAGCTATTATTCTACATTTTACTGTGCTTTCACATTAAAATTAATGTTCAATAAATGTTCATTTGTTTTATTTTATAGTGTTTTTTCTTACATGTTTTAATAAGAAAGTTCTTTTTTTTATTTGTTGTGATTGAAATGTATTTAAACCTGGAGAGACTCACACAGAGAAAAACTGCGATAAGAAAAGTTTTGTTGACATGAAAGAAATAAGTTCTTTGGCGCTCGGGCCCTGGCAGAAGACTTTGGTGCTGTGAATCATAATTAGCTGAGATGAGTAACCTACAACAAGGATTAGAGTGGTCTTGCCTCTCTGATCCCGGACCGTGATGGTAGAATAACCCAGAGGGTGAGTGGGACTGACAACAGTCAGCAAGTGACAGGCTGTGCTGGCGGGAGGCCTGGTCAGGAGCTAAATGAAGTGATCTTAAAGGACGACTGGCTTCGGAGTAGGTGCGATCGGTTGATTGGTTGAAACTTGAACGAGGGTCATCGCAGCTGGAAGCTGATAAGAGTCTTACAGATTGAATTGTTGTTAAAGCATTCTTTTTCTATTTTAGAAACATCCAGTACAGGCTACGTCCATGGTGTAACATTAGGAAAAACGACCAGCTGGTGAGGGAATATTGTGATATCCCCGTCTGTGATGTCAAACCTTGTAAGTATAGGCTACTTCCTATAGTGACAAATTTTCTTATTCACTTGCATCAGATTTCTGTCAATTTTGAAACATAAAGGTGTTTTTTAAACAGATATTCAAAAACATTTGAAAATTTTAAGGTTTTATTCAAAGTACACACTTTAGAGGTTTTAAAAATCCTTTTTATACTTGCAGTCACGCTTGCACCTACAGCTGGACCAACCAAGCCACAAACACGTAGGTTCCCAAAGAACATTTTCTCTCTAATGATTTTTCCCTGCAAGTCTTTAATTGCAACTTTTTTTCATAAGCTACACTGCAGACATGTGGTCATCGGACTGTAAGAAGGCAGATGAAGATTGTGGGTGGAACAGTTGCTACTGTGGAATCCCACCCGTGGGTTGCTGCCATATTCTGGCGCTCCAAATCAAAGACGAAAGTGTTCCGCTGCGGGGGCAGTCTGATATCCTCCTGCTGGGTCATCACAGCTGCCCACTGCTTCCCTGAAGGGTAGGATATAGCTGTAGTTATGATAAAAAGAGCAGCTGTTAGGAAATGTTAAATGTATACCTTCTATACAAATGAGTTCCAGCTATCAGACGAGGCTTCGACGCTTGTCCGTCACACTGGGGAAAAACGCCCTCAATGAGAGTGACCCGACCGCTGAGCAAACCTTCAGAGTGGAGCAAATCTTTATTCATGAAGGATTCAACATCAGCCTACAGAACTACAACAATGACATTTGTATGAAGGGGTTTAGAAATTTTCATCTGATTTCTGTCTTTAATTTGTATTTTGTCATTTATTTTACAGAATTTTGACATAAGAGTGTTTATTGGTCTTAGCTTTACTGAAGTTGAAAGGGAAAGATGGAAAATGCACAGAGGAGACCAACTGGGTGAAGCCTGTCTGCCTGCCTCCGCCTCTTCAGAGTCTCCAACCCGGGTTCACCTGTGAGATCGCTGGTTATGGGAAAGAGAAATTTGGTAAAGAGGGATTTATAAACGTTCGTATATATTTTTTAAGATTCACAGCAACTGCTCTTTAAAAAACAAACAATTTTCTTTTTTTCCACTTTTATATGATTCAAGAGGCAAAGAGATAGTTGTGTGATGCTAACCAGCACTTGGTTAGCTGGTCATCACAAGCTCATATGTCTCTATATTGACATGTGCGTGTTGGCTAAATCATTCTGTTCATTCAGGTGTGCATTAAAAGTATAGTTGAGGATTTTCGCGAATTTTTGAAAAGACCCGCCCTCTCCACTTTAAAAAAAAAATGCACATGCACAACTCTGTACCCGCTCCCTAGAGGGAACGCCCATTAAACCCATGCAAGAGCGTGCACAAGCCCATTTCTGCTCGTGCACGTTCTTACTTAAAAGTTGCTGTACGCATCACTCATACAAGATTTGCAATTCTTCCACTATGTCAGACTCACCACCGGTAAGTGAAAATAGTGATGAGCACATATGACGGCCTCACATTAACATATCATCCGAATGATTGACAATTAGGAGAACTACTTATTTTGATGATCCACCTGGAAAAAGAAAATCCTCTACTATACATTAAACATAATGTATTACATCACATTTATGTAAAAAAAAAAAACATTGAGAAGGCAAATTAAACATATTCACAAGTAGTAGTTATTATTTATTCTGTGCACAAGCTCATCAACCATCGCTCCAACAAATCCCCCACCAGCTGAAATGGGCTCTATGCACAGCTCCACTACTTCCTGAATTTAAGGCAGCTCCTTTGTTTCCTGTCTTTCATTATTGGACGAACTGATTAATCCAGGTGTGTCTGGCCAGTTACTTAGGTCATACACACCTGGATTAATCAGTGCATCCAATCATGAAAGACAGGAAACAAAGGAGCTGCATTAAATTCAGGAAGTAGTGGAGCTGTGCATAGAGCCTATTGCAGCTTTGGGGGCAGAAACTGCCTCTTGCTAACACCAGTAAAATGAAAAGGAAGCAATATTTAAGCAAAAAGCTGTCACATAATTGGATGGACACTTAATTATTTCCATAGTCCTGGGAACTTTTTTTTTTTTTTACATGACTGTGGATTAAGACATTATTTGGACATTACTTCATTCTGTCCCTCACTTTTGCAGGTTTGTGGTACCTGTCTCAGTACCTTAAGGAGGCTCGGGTGAACCTCATTGCTGATGATGTGTGTCGACAGGAGGAATATTATGGAAATAAGGTCAATAACAACATGTTTTGCGCCGCGCGTCCCGACTGGAGCCAGGATGCCTGTCAGGTATTTGAACGCGTCTGTACCTGAATTGTCTTAAAGATTCAAGCATTTGTTCCCTTTAACACTGTGTACCTCTGCCTTACAGAGTGATTCAGGAGGACCACTGGTATGCGAATTTCACAACAGATTCTTTCTCTTTGGTATTATTAGCTGGGGTGATGGATGTGCAAAAGAAATGAAACCTGGTGTTTACACCAGAGTTACCAACTATAACCAATGGATAGAAGAAAAGACAAGTCTTCCCTTCACTACTGCTGGAACCATGTTCCCTCAGAAGTGACTTAGATCTGATCCTATGAGCTTCTAATGTAAAGAATATTCACTAATCCCACTAGACTGTGCTTACAGGAAGATCCATTTGGAGAATAACATAAATTTTTTATTCATTGGTTAACACTCCTTCTGAGCTCCAAAGGTACTTTAATTCTCAATGTTTGATAAACTTTACTGAAATATTAAGCCTTTGAATTTCTTAGGGTTTATTTTTTAATTCAGTTAATCAACTGTAATGTAAATGTAAAGTATAAGCAAAAGACGAAGCATCCTCCTTGCTGATTTATAAATCTAAAAATGTGCTCATATGAACTTCCTAAGTGATATGGTGACTTTTCATAATTATATTTGTGATTTTACTTCATAGTATGATGAATTCATTTTTTTATCGCATTTTTAAACTGATATTTCCTTATTGCCTTTATTTGTAACTTGCTCATTATAACTCAATAAACATTTTATTATTAAATTATTTTGCTTCAGCTTCTGTTTACTTAAAATTGATAGGAAATGTGTGGGAGGAAAGAGCAACATTATATTTTATGCTGTCTTGAAGAACTTCACTATGTGCCAGCTGTAGATAGTGCTTGAAAAGTTTTGTTGCGCTACTGGGCCACCTTGTGGTAAACGTGTAGCGTGGAAAGTTATCAAGGCACTGTGGTGCATTCTTTTTTTTCCCCAGGATTGTTCTTGCAGTGGCGCAGTGGGTAGCACTGCCTCCTTGCAGCAAGAAGGTTCTGGGTCCGATTCCCAGCCCAGGGTCTTTCTGCATGGAGTTTGTATGTTCTCCCTGAGCATGCATGGGTTCTCTCCGGGTACTCTGGATTCCTCCCACAGTCAAAAAATATGACTGATACTGTAGGTTAATTGGCTTCTCTAAATTCTCCTTAGGTGTGAGTGTGTGCGTGAGTGGTTGTTTGTCCTGTTTGTCTCTGTGTTGACCTGCGATGGACTGGTGACCTGTCCAGGGTGTACCCCAGCTCTTGCCCATTGACAGCTGGAGATAGGCACGAGCCCCGTCGTGACCCCACTTGGGATTCAGCGTGTTAGAAGATGGATGGATGTTCTCGCTGAGTGTTATGGAAATAAAACTAGAAATCCATAACACAACACAATTACTTACAATATGCCCTGCTTCAGAAACACCTATTGTAGTTATTGAGTTGTCCAGATGTGAGTCAACTCAGTCTAATTAAGTCAACTAGTGGACAACTCCACTTCTTAGTGATTGCCATACTGGCAAGCCGTTAAAAGTGGATCTCTCCATTTTGCCTGTTCAACCTTAGCATGAGAGGCTGTAAATAGATGCATGGTAGGAAAATCTTGTACTTATATTCGTCGACCTTCGGTTATCCAGAACCAGGCTGAGATGAGGAAAGCTCATATCAGCTGCTCTGCTTGTGTTGGAAATTTTGCTTCTTTTGATCATCATCAAGATTTTAACGATAGAAGAGGGTAGCAACATGGACCCTTTAGTAAATGGAGAGCTTTGCCTTTTTGCTCAGCTCTATGCACCAGACCAGACTCATTATGGTGGAAGCCTTCCATCTGTTGATCTTCTCTTTCTTTCTTCCCCTTACACATGAACAAGACCCAAAGATACTTGAACTCCTCCACTTGAGTCAAGATTTCAACTCCAACCTGAAGATGGTAAGCCATCTTCTTTCCAGATGAGAACCAGGACCTTGGACCCGGAGAAGCCGATTCTCATCCCGGGCCACTTTGTACTTGGCTGCGAACCACTCCAGAGCTTTGCAGGAGAGAAAAACACTCCAAAGTGACTTTTCTTTGGAACATAAAAATACAAGGTTAAGAAACTACATTTTCAATCCTGTCGCTCAACAAATTAAAAAGTAAAAAAGAAAAACAAAACATGGGCGAAATAAGGTTGCATTAGCCGACTAGCTTTTATTACCCAAAATAAGAGGACAGAGGGGAAAAAAACAGCCAAAAATAAAGAAAATCCTTATTTTTACAGAGTGATTGATTTAGGTAAACCTGTTACTCACATTAATGCAGTAATATCTCCGTTGTAGCAGTAATTCTGGAAGCAGAGATTTCACCACGCTCAGATTTGGCGAAAGTCTACACGTCTACAGTTCTGTTACCATTGCACCAACGTAGACTCATTGCCTGTGCATGCTGTAAGTCTTTGCAGGAGAGAGTCAGCAGATCCATATCAACAAGTAGAAAAATAATCTCACTAAATAATAAGATAAATCTGTAAATCATTTTGTACATGTGGCTAGCTTGGTAATCTTATTTATAATAAAATATTATTTTATAGTAAGCCGTGTTTCTTGCAATAAAGAAATTTGATTGTAATTTTAACTGGTGAAAGCATATGGAAAAGATTAATCAACATGCCCTGTAGAATTTGCTTGGGTTTCTGCTATTACTACTTTTCCATTTCTACATATTTCAAAGACCACCTTAAGCCTTGAGGTCCTTCACTGATCAATCTCACTAAATTAAATTGAAATATATTCTTGTAAATGCTTTTCTTTTGTTTTTTTTTGACATATGGGACCAAAAAATGTATTTTTTCTGAATTGAATAGATTCATTTAAACAGATTGATTTTAAAAGATATATATTTGAGATTGATTGTGCTTCAGAGTTAATCCTTTGCAGCAGAAAATGGATTTTCCTGTCCAGGTGTATGGAGCAAGGGTAGTGCATTTCCAATCCACAAGAGCCTTTAACCTGCAATTTTTAGATGCACACCTGAATCAAATAATCAGATGATTAAGAGGAATTTGGAGAAATGTGCTGCATACTGAGGAGGTAATTAAGACATTTGATTCAGGTATTGGGGCAAGGACAAATCTAACAGTTGTGAGAAGCTGATCTTCGTGGACTGGAGCTGTTTACGGCTGCTCTAGCTATTGTTCATTCAAAGCTTGACAGGTTCATCTAAGATCAGTTGGGTCAATAATTTAACAAGAGGAAAGCAGAAGAGTCAGAACTTTATGTAATGATGTTAAAGGTGTGTTGCAGAGAAGATGTAAACAATGGCTGCCACCAGCTCACAGGTATTTTTTGATTCGATATTGACGTCGGTAAAGGAACATTTGAATTATTTTCTTTTAGGAAAGAATAGATAATGGCACTGAAGTCTGTTATTCTGCTGGATACAGCAAAAGTTTGATCTGGTGACAAAACAAGTGGGACTGAGTCCCAATCTGCTTATGGTTGTTGCATCCCTGTCAATAGCGCTCATGGAGGACCAGGTAAAGGAGGCAGAGAAACTTGGACTGAGGGCCATGCAGCTGGGTAAATCTCCACAAGGAGAAGTGAACTGGTCGTTACCAGTTAATTTTTTGGGAGCCATGTGTCTTGTTTGCTACAAAAGGAATGGAGCAAGATGCTAGCCATCTAGGTGTTCCAGAATAATGTTTCAGGAATCGTGGTGAACGAGGTTTTATATCACATCCAAATGGTAAATAACCTTCAAAGGGATGTATCCATAAGAAAGACAAGCAATTAGTGTCTATTTAAGGTAATTTCATCAGATCATAGCTTTATCTTTTTATTACTTTTAATTTTAAAGTTTAGAATATATTGTGTTTTGTCCATACTTACTAATATTATGTTTAACAGTGATCTGAGTACGTCACCTCAGTTGTTGCGCTGCTTGGTTGTTGTCCTATGGCATGCAGAGGAATTAGAAGGACAACCGTAGTGCCCACCCCTATGGCCAATGGAGCCTCCCCAGACCCAACATCTTGATGTTTCTTTAGGCATTACCCGGCTACTTAGGAGAAGAATCAAAATAAAAACAAAATAACTAAACACAAGATGTTAGAAAGTTGTCAGAAAGTTTTAATCATGAACATCAGCTTTAATGCAGCTAATTAAATGATTATTATTACAGGAATCTAATGCCCTCTTTTTTCTATTTGAAATATATTTACCTTAACGGAAATATAAAACATTTTCTCGGAACTGTATTTAATGTTAAACTTTTATATACCTCTTTTTAGTGTTTGGGTTTGGTGCTTTGCCTAATTTCTGACAGTAGGTGTAGCTGTTGTTTTGTGTTGAACAACAGCTAGATAAAACTGACATTTACCATTTTCTTTATCTAATTTTTTTGTATTTTTTCTTTCTTTTTGTAATTTCGATTAATTTTCCGTCACACTTATCCCTCTCCATGCTTATCCCTGCTGAAAAAACAACTATTCATGCAAACAATCGCACTTGAGGAGAATTTAGAGAAGCAAATTAACAGCTGTGTTTTTAGTCTGTGAGAGTAAGCCGGAGTATCGAGAGAGAACCCATTGACTCTTCTTAAAACCCACCTCTTTTCTTTGGCTTTTGACACCATGTGGAGTGTTGATTTTATGTATACACATGTTGATTTTATGTATACACATGCACATTTTTATCCTGTGCGGGCAGTGCTTTTATTTTATTTTATTTTATTTACTTTTATTCATTTTAGTTATTTTATCTTTTCTGTGTAGCACTTTGGAACCCTTGTGTTTATTGAAATTGTGCTATATAAATAAAGTGGATTGGATTGGACTGAATGCGCAGGAAGAACATGCAAACTTCATGCAGAAAGACCCCAGTCTAGGAATTGGACCTAGAACCTCCTTACTGCAAGGCAGCAGTGCTATCCGCTATTCCACTCTTGCATCCCCTGTTTTTTACTCATATATTTTTTTTATCTACATTTTGTAACTTTGTGTATGTTTTGTTGCTGTTTGTAGTTTTTGAAACATAAAATTAAGTTTTTATAGAGAATTCTGTTTTGGTTTTGTGTGTTTTTTTCCATGCCAGTGTTGCATCAGTTCAAATTCCATAGGATTCTACTGCTGCTTTGCTTTCTTGTCATTGTGATTACGTTTTTTTTGTTTGTTTTTTTTGGCTGCTTTTTTTTCCAAGTCTCTTTGTATTTTTGTGCTCGTAGGGGAAGCTGGAAGTTTCCATGAACCAATGAACAGGTTTGCTAGACAGCCGGTATGTGCATGCTGAAACATATTGCCGACATGGTTAACTCCACAGAAACATACACAACTAAATAGAGTTTAACCAGTCAAGTGAGTAAAACCAGTTTAATAACTGTAGCTTTACGGTTTTTTAACAATAGATGTTAGGTGTGGTTAGGACTGCTCTGTTCACTTGCTATCAGACTTCAGGACAAATACTTTTACATTTATATATACAATAGTCCTGAATCACTGTTTCCAATAAGACATTTTCCTGTATAGTTTATGTATGCAGAAAACTTTAACTCTATTTGCATAAAAAAAAAAATATGTTGCATAATTGGAGCTTTTTCTTAATCATTTTATACACCTCACTAACCTCATCCTTTACTTGATTTGTCTATTAAGATTATTTTGCAAATTTCCTTCAAGTTTCCAATAGTTAAATTGCATTTTTGTCATTAACTCAATGCAATCATTGTTCATAAGTGACATTCTGGGAGCCGCAGTGCAGGATTTCAGGAACACACCTTCCTGCAGATCAGGTGTGTCTAAAAGGGTGTGACTTTAAGCTCCTCTCAGAGCCAAACTCAAATCTGCTCTCAGTGGACTGTGTGCCTTTCCGTGAGTGCTGCATTACTTGAAGTAAGTGCTTTTAAAAGATATATTTCTCAGAGATAAAAAAAAAAAAAAAAATATATATATATATATATATATCTATATGATGTACTAGTATCTAAAGAAGTAATGATTTGTTCTCTGGCTGCTCTTTGCTTCAGCCTCTTGTCTGAACTGTCTCCCTATAGCATCCAGAACCATGCCTGACACAGCAGAGTCCCACTCGGCGACCCTCACCACCAACCGTAACTGCACCATTGAGATCACCAATGTCAGCGGCACTTACTGTCTCGTCAACCCAAAGTACGTAAGAACCTGAGAATGCCAGCCAGCACTGTCCTTCATGATCTCTGGTTGCATGCAGATGAAACAAAAAAAGTAAAACCTGTAATATTAGGTTGAGTTTATGAAGATTAAACCACTTTTACTTTGCAGGTCTGAGTGTTAAACAGCAGTACTACATTTGATGGATTTAAAAACTATGTAACTGTTTAAGTATTGCAAATGTAATATTTTTAATTATCTTTAGGCAACAAATATATGATTTGCAAAAATGAAAAGAGTTCATGATCCAGCTGCTCTACTCTGTATGGTATATGGTATTGAGTATTTTTGTATCACTTTGTGTTTAATCATGTACTGCTTGGTTTAAAATACCTCATTTATTCATTCTTTTTCATAACACTTTTGCATCACTTCCTGTAAAGTTGTTTCTTCAGATGTGTGCTTTTTTTTTGCTAAATAAAAGGTCCTAATAATGTGCATATATGCTGTCCTTTTTATAGTTTGTAAAAGTGGTTGATGTTTTATGAATCGTTTTATTTTACATGTAAAGTGTATATTTGGCTTTTTTTTAAAGTTCTGAATGACTTTTTTTTAATCATTTAATTATTTGTATTCTTGATTTGTTTTCAACATCATGCCTTCATTATTGTAATCTTTACAAAAACACCATTTATTGTTGGGATCCAGAGGCTTGCCATCCAGAGGGCGCCGAGGATCCCTTCCTGTTTATGTATCCATTGAAGCTTCACAAAACATATTTCCTAATGAAAAGGCTCATACAACGGTTGTTCTATTAGAATTAATCAAATGTCTAATGGTCTCCTAAATGTTTCTTTTAGGATTCACATGGAGAGTGGATTCCCATTCAATCCCCCACAGCCTACTGTGCGCACCCAAAAGACAGAGGTGTGTTCCTTCGTCAAGGATGACAACACAGCGTCCGGAGCTGTTGGTGTTCTGACCTACGAGCTGTATAACATGAAGACCCGCAGCTGCAGTGAGCTGATGGCCATCATGTTCTCTGTGCCATTCGACTACAACTTCTACAAGAACTGGTATGGTGTGGGAATCTTTGAGCGCACACTTGCCTGCGATGAAAAACTCTACAAAACAATGTACAACAGCAAGGATTTCAGCAACTTTGTGCGCCATGAGGCTGATGGTTCTGGGATGCTCTACCAGGGCAAAGATTTGGATGTGAGGGCCTGCATGTCTGATGAGGGCAAAGCAATCATCAAGCTCGAGCTGTATGATATGATGGGTCGATAAACAATAATGCCCTCAACATGAAGAGCTCAAATAAAATAAAAGCATTGGGGTTGATACTCTTGATTATTGCTGTCATGGATGCTTTGAATAAATAAAAGAAAATTTATCTAATCCACTTCTTGTCGTCTTGTGTAAATGACAATCCTTCCTCACACAAAGAAAAATGAATAACACTACAAAAAATATAAATCTAAGAAAGTCAATGTTTTTTTAGATAAGTGCTTTTTTTCTTCAATTGAAGTGGTAAATAAGACACTTTTCCAATGGAATAAGACAATTTAAATTTCAAAAAAGAATAAAACAATAGCAGTTTCCTATTTCAAGTGCATAAATTCAAATTATTTTATTCTAAAGGGTAAACATTTTAATTCTATTGGCAGATCATCTTAATTTCCTACTTCTAATAGGGGTAAATACACTTATTTTGAGATTTTTACCCATTTTCAGAACCTTATGCAGTGAATAAATGCAAACTAAAACACCGAAATCAAAAACGGTGCTTTGCAGACACACTGGCTGCAAAGATCAACATTAAGACAGAGGGAAAAAAAAAAAAAGCAAAAAAGGTGTGTTCTTGGCAAAACTTTCCAGTAAGAGTTGATGTCACTGGCAAAATAAGCCCAACGGTCTCACCCTCACAAGAATGCAGGAAACAAAAACAAAAAAAGGGATGGACTGCACCTTTATTCTTCTTCCTTAGACATACCTGATTCATGAAGCCTGATACAGGGAGGGGCACCCAAAGTGGGACTCTGCTGTGGGTGGAGACACTGTGGGTTGTCTCTCTTTCCCATGGAACATCCACCTTAACACTGAACACTGTGATTCAAAGTCTGCATTGCATGAGTAAACGACCAGTGGCACGGTGCAGGTAAGATCTTTTTGCTTCTTGAACTTAAGGAAATGTTGAATTCAAGTAAATGCATTGATAACAAATAGCTACATGTCTGTTCATGTCTGATCGTCAGGTAAATAATAAAAGCTAAAACAATGAGTGAATCAGCAGAGGCTTTGGCTGCTAACCTCGAAAGCAGAAGAAATGTCACAATTGAGATCACCAACTTGACAAACAGTCACTGCCTCATTAACCCCAAGTAAGTGCAACTTAAGCGTAATCTTAACTTTCTATACCTGGAGTAAAAGTAATCTGATTTTCTTATGCAAATGTTTTTCTTTTTTTGCAAAACAAAAAAGGGTTTTCCTTGACAGCGGCAATGTCCACAGCCCTCCCCAACCCACTGTCCGCCCACTTAAGACCGAAGTCTGCAACTTTAGCAAAGACAGTGGCAAATCCACAGGCGCTGTAGGCGTTCTGACTTACGAGCTGTTTGAGCGGCATTCCAACAGCACCAAAGAAATGATAGCAATAATGTTCTCTGTGCCGTATGACTACAACTTGTACAAAAACTGGATAGCTATAGGAATCTACGACAAGAGCAAAGAATGCAACGAGAGCCTCTACAAAGAGATGTACTACAACAAGGAGCAGAATGGCTTTGTCCGACAGGAGTCCAACGGCAGTGGGCTTACCTTTCAGGGTAGAGGCGTGGACGTCAAGGCTACTATGTCCCCCATGGGCAGGTGCATTATGAAGGTAGAGATCTGGGACAAGGTGTTCTCCCAAATGGAACAGCAACATCACTAAGATGTCCATTCAGATTGTGTTTAAAAAAACTTTATGTTAGACAGACTAAGCTCTGTGCAATCCTGTGTTGATGTAACATCTGTTCTTGAAATAAAAGGATAATCACTTAAAACAACTATTGTATTTATTGTCACTTTGGGAAACAGAAATCAACTACACAATGTTATATCTGCAAACATGAGTGATCTCTACCTGGTTTTAATAAGCATTTTTTATATTAAAAAAAGCAACAAAAACAAATGGTTGCAGAGTTGGAGTATATAACCTTGAGTGGCGTTCTCTCTCAGGAAATAAACAGTGAACAATGTGAAAGCAGAGAATCAACAGACGCTTTCATGTTTATACGTGAAAAAGAAAATCTCTTCTAGTTTGGGTTGGTTTAAGCTTGTCCAAAATATCAATACTTTAAACACAAAAGGAAGAAAAAGAAAGCAAACATACATATTAATTAACCCTTTTGTTCACTTTTTTGCTGCTACCTTTGAGAGGTTAAGACTGATTAACCTGATTAACACCCTATTGCATTTACACAATGATAAACAGGTGTTTAGGATACATTTGCTTTAGCACTCCATTTCAATAGGAACTGCATGCTATTATGTTAATCCATGAATACTCCATACTAGTTTTCAGTGTGTTGTGTTGCTTTTTTTTTCTTTGAACAAAAATCACTTTCTAACTGCCAGAAAGGCTCACATACAAAATTAAACTTTATAGATAAATACATCATTCTATTCAAGAATTGTTTTTAGTACTTGATTCAGATAAATTAAAAGTAACATAAAATAGAAGAGAATTCCAGTAGTGAGCACATTACTTGGAAAGGCCTCCATCTAGTGGTTAGAAGAAGTACATTTGCACATACCATTTAAACCAGGGTGTCCCACTCCTGTCCCTGAGGGCTACTTTCCTGAAACATTGCTGCTCCAACTCAGCTGACTTTAATGAATGCCTGAATTACTGCTTATGGGGCATCAAGTTTGGTAGAGGCTTGATTCAATTGATGCAGGTTTGTTGCAGCAGGAGCGCATCTAATAACTGCACAGCAGATCCTGAGGACTGAAGTTAGAGGAGCACTGCTTAAGACAATTCTGAAATGAGAGCAGGTTACAGGCAAACAACGGTGTGTCCCACCGAAATTGGAGACACCACGGTTAGCTCTTGACAGAGTTAAAGGGGTCACATTGTGGCTTTGCATGAAAGCTGCAGGTTTCAGTATGTATTTATACAGACTGTCCTATGCTGGAAAGAGTGATTCAAATAGGATATCTGCATGCTTTTTGTCATTCTGCACTATGTTTCATAGACTGCATAACTCATATTATGCACTTGCACAAGATGACCATCGAACCTCATGCAATATGCACCCATACCATATCTGCTGATTGGTTGTAATGCTGTTTATTTTGAATAGAGACCATTCACCATGTCGATAGACTTTTGGAAGCTTGGGTCTGACAGCAATATCATACCACACAATGACCATGACCATTATTGGTTTGATACCATTCTGTCGAGCTGTCCAAGTGTTTTGTTTAAAATAAGTATATAAACTGAACTATAGGTATTATTATTATTATTATTATTATTATTATTATTATTAGTTCTATTTGCATTTCAGCTGAATCTCTTTGCCTTTTCATTCTTTCTGATTTGCTTCACTTTTTTTTTTTTTACACACCAACTGACTCTTCTTTAGTGGCTAATAGTAGATTTCAACATTTTAAAGACCACATTAAGTTAGTTCACACTATATAATGAAAATTATTATTTTTCATTTTGGTCATAGCTTAAGAATAAAAAACTCACAGTTTTATGTGACACAAAATTTACACCAGCATTATAAGACCTATTTGCATATAATCTAATTAATTACATTGCTCATGAAAAACAGTGACAACAGTGTTGAATCTGTCCTTCAGGTACATCTCAAGTGAGTTTAGAGACATCCGTCTCACATCATATCCCCAATACTGTTTTTTCGCTGTCTTCTGTATGGGGACAATCTCTTCTGTGCTGTTTGGGTCATTACGTCCGATAGCGGCGAAGGTGGGAAAGGCATCTTTCATTCCTTCAGGAACACTGTGGTTGTAGTTTGGGCAGCAGTATGCGGACCACAGATACTCTGGCACTGCCACGCGATTCTTGATCCAGTGTTCGTCTTTCTGGTAGGGAATGATGCCTGTTACTATGTAGGTTTCCCCAAGACAGTAGGAAGCCAAGGTATTGTTGACGGTCTGCTCTAAGTCTTCCCAGGGTCCATCATTGGACCATTTCTTCTGAGGAACCACATTGGTAAGGGTGAATGTGGAGGAGCGGCACACGGGGGTCTGGTGATGAAGGCTAGGGTTGAGATGACCACGGGAGTAGGTGGAGTTAATGTAGTCTAGCTCAACTGCCTGGCTCTCCACAACGTTCATGTCCACCGGTCCTGGCAAGAAGGGCCTCATGTTGCCATCAGCTGCAGGGTAGGCCAACTGTTATTGAGCCAGAAGAATAAAAAATGCAATGTTTGACAAGTAATAAAAACTAAAGTAATCAATGTGATAATTGTGAATTCTGGATTTTGAATACAATAGAAACAACAACATATGACAACTTAATTCAGAAAGATTCTTTCATTCTTCACCACATCCATTGAAGGAGGAAAGACTAGAATTGTCACAAGCTATACATACCTGGGTGTAATATAGGACTTGGGCAAAAAAAGTAGAGACTGTATGTTTTAGAGGTACTGGTATCTTGAAGTTGATGCTTTTAATGTTTTATTCTGCTTTTATGGAGGGTAGTATAACCTTTCGTGGGATATGATGGTTTGCCAATACCATAGAGTCTGAGAAGACAGCTCGAGGAAGGGGAACCACCTTGCCAAGCAAGTAACAAATACAGTATATGGACAGAATGGCAGAAAAGGTTGCATCAGAAAATTGATTTCCCCTTAAGCTCTTTATATGAGCTGCTCCATTTGGGGTAAAATATTGCCTTCCTTTCATCCTGACAAACAAAGTGAAGTTTCCTTTTATATCATAAGAAATAAAATAATCTTCTTTGCTGTTTAAATAACTGTAATGTGGTTGTACATGTTTTTCTAGAGTATGTTCGTGCTTTACGCAAACACCTTCTCGCAACGCCACATTAATTAGGAAGGAAAAAGACATGTCTTTTCAGTAAAAAACAAAAAACAAACCATTTTACAGTTCATTGACTCAGAAGTGTTTCTGATTCTGTCCAAGTTTTCTGTTTGAGTTTTCAGTTACACTTTGAATCATGTCTTTCTGTGTATTCTAGGTCATTGGTTTCATTTCCATTTTGCGCCATTCTGGTAGTTTTTTTGTTTTTATTTGAGTTCTTTTATATTTTTTGTACACTCTCTGTTGCTCTGGTGCCAATCTTCTTTCCCCAAGCTGTTTTCCAGATCCTTCTGTCCACTTCTTCTCCCAATCACTTCATTACACCATTCTTTGTTCTGTTTGGTATATATACTCCTCCTCTGCAGTTACTGTTTGCTGGATACTCTTCATTCTCTACTTAACCCATGTGTTTCCCTTTTTTCGAGTTCGTGAATGTCTTGATCAGTTATTTCGGGATTTATGCTTCTGTTGCCATGACTCTTTATTAAATCTGCAAAAAATCACCTCAGCTTCTGTCTCTGCATTTGAGTCCTCTAAAAACCTCCTTACAACCTGACAATAAAAAGTTCCTTCTTCCACTCTTCAATAAACTCTTTCATCCAAATAAATATGCTTCTGTTAAAAATATAAACAATTAGATTTGTTTTATTTTATTAATTTATCATCCAAATAGTTAAATGGAAGGGCCATTTTAATATTCTTCTTGTTTCCATTTTTGGTGCAGAGCTGGCACCTTGTGAAGACACAATAACCACTTCTCCTTTTAAAGCTCAATTTCCTGTTTTTATCTACTGCTAACTACTCAGTGAATTTAAGTTGGACCATAAGCAACCAAAGAAAGAAACGTTATAAAATTTTCTCCAAATATTCACATTGTTAAACTATTATGCTTCTGTTTTTACTGCGAATAAATTCCTTTACACCAATAAAAACCAGTACCTGTAGAGTATACCTCTTTTTGAACTATCTAAATCAGTGAAGTGAAAATATAAGTTTCAAGCTGCTTACCTGTGGTTCATATTTCCAAGAAGCTTTTGGTCTCTTCCCACTTGGTACTGTGTACACATAAGCCGAGAACCATGGAGAGCGGCGCGGTCGACTGTATAAAGTGGCAAAGCGGTAGTTGTTATTGTATCGCTGGCAGATCGAAGTCCCAGCCAGGCCTTTGGGGGGCCAGGATCTATAGAAGAATTGCAAACAGGGGGTAAAATCTCCGACATCAGCCACAGAGAAAGAAATGAAGGCCACGAAAAGCAGAACGTTGCTCAGGCCTGACATTTTTTAACTGCTTTCACCCAGAGTAAAGAATCAACTAAGAGCTGTTCCTGTTTTATACAAACACAGGATGAAGGCATAAGGAAGTGATAAAAATGACTGTCTCAAAAAAAATAAGAAAGTCTCACTCTTTTGGAGAATCAGTCTCATCAGCTTAAAGAAAGTACATTTATGTTTACTAACGTAATGTGGCAAATATGAACAGAATCATGACAGTCTGCCTGACAAAGTATATAATCTGCACATACAAGGATTCTCATAAATGTACACACTCATATTGAATTTTTGGTTTTGTAACTTACAAACCTTAAATGCTCTCATTAGCTCTAATTGATCTATTGATGCAAGGGTCTTTATGTCATCCTTCTACTGATGGTATACTTGACCTTGTCTTCAAATAAATTATTTTCCCTCACTCAGACAAAATAACAGAGCTATTAAAATAAAGTTAGATAAATAAGTATTTGAACACGCTGCTATTTTGCAAGTTCTCCCACTTAGAAATCATGCAGGGGTCTGAAATTGTCATTGTTGGTGCATGTCCACTATGAGAGACATAATCTAGAAAGAAAATCCAGGAATCACAAATAAGTTTTTGACCACCATAGAAAATGAATGTTAATATTTGGTAGAGTAGCCTTTGTTTGCAATTCCAGAGGTCAAATGTACACTGTAGTTTTTCACCAGGTTTGCACACAGTGCAGGAGGAATTTTGGCCCACTCCTCCACACAGATTATCACTAGATCAGTCAGGTTTCTGGGCTGTTGCTGAGAAACACGGAGTTTGAGCTCCCTCCAAAGATTCTCTATTGGGTTTAGGTCTGGAGACTGGCTAGGCCACGCCAGAACCTTGATACGCTTTTTAGATAGTAATTATCTAAAGAGACACTTCATAGGCGCTCTGTCTCTGTTCGGGGAGAGGACACCATGGCTGATAAACAATAATGTAGAAAGTTGTTCAGTAATATGATTGTTTGTACATACTGTACTAAGAGGAGAGAGGAGAACCTTTCAGATTTAAAGATAGCATTCCTAAACCTGAAAATCTCACAGAAGTCGACAGCTGAATCATCCTGTGATTTGTTCATTGTGTCTTTGAATAAAGACTCATCCAAGTCAGTTACAGGCAGCTTTGATCTAATAGTATCAGTATACCACATAACATGATATTGCTATGAAAAAAAAAAAAAACTGACTTACAATCAGAAGCCTCAATTTATCAAGACATCGCTTTTTACTATTCTGGTGTTTTCCTGGATTTACTCACATGGTTTACTGGTATTTTTTCCATACTAATATTACAGGAGCACTCTTACTGTTTTTATTTTTTTAGAATTTGTAATCCTTGTTTAAATTTCTAAAGCATAATTTTATATTGTTAAACTGCTTGAAAACATTATTTTTCAGCTCTAACCTGCTTTATATCCTGTTGAAGCTTCCAATATGCAAAATATAAAGTTTTAAAATATCTAGTTTGCTGTGTTGCTCTTTTGTTTATTTATTATAATCATTAATCACAATAATTACAGGTACATACAGGTATTGCAGTTGAGTGTCTTGACTCACATGGCCCACCACACAGACCAAAATGGTTTAGATTAGAAAATGTTAAATTATTTTCAGGTTAAAGTCCTTTTAATTTTTTTTTTCATTAACATGTAATATTTTACATTTTATTATTGAATTCCTACAGTAATTGCATTTAAAATTCAGATCATAAAAAGTACATTCTTTGCCTAGTAACTAGTTACATTGATTGTGTAGTAACTAGCTTACCCAAAAATGTTATGTTTTAGGTGAGGGAATTTATAACCATGATGTTTCAAGTAAATTTCCCAACACAGGAGTTTCTGTTTAGTTCAGTAGAGGCCTGATCATTACTCAGCCACATATACCACAATGCTGGGTTTGTTTGAATGTCTAATCCTTGGGATTAACTAGTTGCTGTCTAAGAGTGTTGTTTAAAGCACACCCCAAAGCAGAGGAGGGGACCTCAGAGTTCTTTTTCTTACATTTACTCTGCAGCCCTGACTCATCTCTTCAGGTATTTTCTCAGCATTACACCTTTGAACTATGACCAACACTATGTTTTTGGATTGTCAAGCAACAACAACCCAAACACTGAGCTGAATAGAGGGTGACTCGTGTGTGTTGATTAAAAGTTATTTTTTTTTCAAAGAAAGAAGGGTAGCAGCCAAGTTACAGAAAATTAGCTTACAACATGAAGCCTATTTGGTGATTATGTCACTATGTCACTCTCTTGATCCACACTTGGTCTTATATAAGTATAATCAGTATAAAAAATTGGAGCTATGTGAACACCCCCCCCCCCCCCCCCCCAAAAAAAAGAAAAAAAAATCTAGAAATTCATGTTAAAAGATGTTCTGCAACATATTCACTTTAGGATGTGCACCCTCATTACGCAACCAGGTTACTTTCCGTAAAATTTTCCACAAACACTCTATTTTCAGGTGTCTGATGAGTTGTACAGGTCCTATTTTAATACATTGTTTAAATAATAACGTTTCATAGAACTCATGAAAACTGTTTAAATAGACCTAAAAACCAAAAAAATGTGTCACTTTTTAATTGGAAAATTAAAATGATGTATTTTTATCTAAATTCTTTGTTTATGATTCAAATATACAGTTTTTAAAAGGGGAAGTGAACTCTGAGTTTTACCAAGAGCACAAAAAGCATTATTTCACTTTCTTTGAAATGGCAAATTGTCAAGTATTTCTGGCAAATACTTTATCTCCAATATCTGGTACTGTGATAACATTATGTTGTTTATTTACTTTCCAACATTTTCTTTGTTTCAGAAGGCTTCAGAACAACAATGTTTTTATTTGGTTTATTAATATATGAAGGTAACTTGTATTACTTGTTGTATTTATCTATTTATTTATCTATCACTGCATTCAAGTCAAATGATTTGATTTTTATTTATTTATTTATTTACAAACATAGCAGAAGAGAAATGTATTATTGTATTCATGTTGTTGCCATTTGACTGATATCCTTCAGATACAGATATAGTTCAATGCTACCACCTAGTGGTCAGACATTTAAGCTTTTTGAGGGGATGTAGTTGTAATGTGCATGTGATTCATATGCAGACCAGGAATTTGGAAACATATCCTGAATAACTTGACCGTCTATCCAGATCTAGGGAAAGTTTTTTGTTTTTTTTAATGTGGCTACCCTAGGTCTGCTAACATTTAATTTTAGATCCCTTACCAACTGCCTATACAATGGGGCAAAAACACTATGAAGTCATCCAATGATTGTTTAATTTCTCAACGATGAGAAAGTTCTGTAACTTTCATTATTAGTTACACTTCAACTATGAGGGACAAAGTAAATAAAAAAAAAAAATCCAGGATGTTAAAAAAAACGTGTTTGTAAGTTGTGTTTGAAAATACATAAAAAAAAAAGTTTCTTCCTCACAGAACTGTCCCTTCTTTATTTAAATAAGATCTTTTGTCCTCGATTTGTACCTACACCAATGGAACTTGTTTGAGCTCTGAAAAATAGGGACTTTAATTGCTAGTAGGAAAGTTCAGATCGCTGTGGTGAGTCCGGTTAGAACTCCCAAGAAAGCAGAGTCCTACTCCAATAGGTCAAACTTGTCCTTGCAGTTTATTCATTAATTTCCATATCAATGTGTATGGTTTTCTAGAAAGACAACAAAAATATAATATCACTGTCTGAATAATTCTTAACAAATAACTAAACTGATATCTCACATTATAAACTGCATTATTAGTACAAACATCTCTTTTCTAACTAAATACACCGCATGAATAAGCAAACCACATTATTTAACTCTTAAGTGTGCACATAAATAAAACATGTCATAAACTAGAAGCAAACTGAAATACTTTATTAAACAAACAATGTCACTGACTTCTGACATTACTTACTTGCATTTCACGCACACACATCAAAAGGAAGGTGACAACAAACTGCAACAGCAGGACAGAATCCACAAACTGAGAACGGTAAACTCCATTGCTCCTTTTTCCTTCTCTCACCTTCCTCATCTACATGCTACACAGCGGTGCCCTAAGCCCCGCCCCTTAAAGGGCTCAACACATCAAACTGTCAGGCAGCCTTTTTCACAGCCGCCCCCGTATTCACCTGTGAATACGAATAACAAAAAAAAAGGCTGCGTAAGAAAGGGAATTAATCGTCCTTAGGCTGGGCAGGTAGACTAACAAGCCTGGCCACCGGTCGAATGTAGGATCTTCCTTTCACAGTCACTTCAGCTGATCTAATCCGGGTGTCTGGTCCAGGGAAAACTTGAGAGACTTTACCCACAGGCCAGAGGGCTCGTGGAAGCTGGTTGTCCACAATCATGACCACGTCTCCTACAGGTAGTACTTCACAAAGTTCTGCCAGAAATGGTCAGCTAGAATTTGGCTATGCCTCCATCTCCTCCGCCCTAGAATTTCAGGACTGTTGTAGAGGACTTGTGGCAGCGAAGCATCCCGCCGGCCCATGAGGAGATAGTTGGGGGTAACCGGGTCAGGATCTGCTACCTCAGATGAGGTATAACCTAGGGGTTTTGAATTAAGAATCCCCTCTATTTCAATCAGAATGGTTTGCAGTACCTCTTCAGAGACAATCTGTGCTCCGATGACGACTTGAAGAGCAGTCTTCAGAGAACGAATTTCACGCTCCCATCAGCTCCAAAGTGTGGGGAACCAGGAGGATTGAAAATGAACTCGATCTGCTGATGAGCTAGCTGCTCTCTGAGGTTGGGCTGAAGAGCTTTGAATGCCACCTGTAGCTCACGTTCTCCTCCCCGGAAGTTTGTCCCCTGATCACACAGGATCTCCTTAGGTTTTCCACGCCTGGCTATAAAGCGTCTCAGGGCCATTAAGAACGCATCCGTGTCCAGACTGGGAATCAGGTCAAGATGCACTGCTCTTGTAGTTAGACATTTAAACAGTATTCCCCACCTTTTCTCCTTACTCCGTCTGATCTTGATGCTGTATGGCCCAAAACAATCCACGCCTGTGGAATAGAATGCC